CTGATAAATCATTCTTTTTGGCAGCCACTTTTTCAAATCTATAAGGGAATGATTTGTCATTGCCTGAGGACTTATGTAGGCCTGCCATTGACCTAGACAGGTTGCAACTGATTCGTATTCTTTGTTGGATGGTGTCTAAGAGACTCTCATTGCTCAGAGTTTGCTTCATACTGAGGGGGGAAAAGAAGAAAAAAAAACGAGATTACTACCTTAATAGCAATCTCGCCCCTACTCCTGGGACAGTGAAATTACCGTGCCTATATTGGAAAAGCTGTTGAAAAGTGACAGTGTAATAATAGCATTGTCAGGACAATGCTCCTATGTCTTGTTGAAATTACTAGCTTCTCTGGGTAATTAAAACAATTATAATTGTTTGTTTCTATGTAATTCTTTAGCATTAAATCCATGCTGTGCACATGATGCACAACCAGATTCCAAATGGTAGCTGGAATTTTTTTAACTTCAGATTGATAAAACATGCTGTTTATATCTAGCAATATGAGAAATTCAGAACACAGCAGAGACCATTAGATGTCACATACTCCAAGTCCTTCATTTTACAAGTGGGAGATTTACATTCAGAGCAGGGAAAAGGCTCGCCCAAGATTTTTCAGTAGGTTAATAGAAGAACTAGGACTGAAACCCAGATCTTCTGGCCTCTAGTAATGAGCTCATTTTGTTATACCAGGTTCTCCTTATGTATAAAGGGAAATCTAGTAGTGAGGTGTATGAAGGACAAGTAAGAGATAAACAAAACACCTAAAACTTGTCCCTTTGATTGACTCTCTCCTTTCATATTCACTATTATTGTCTTTATCACCTTTTCTCATCTTTTGAATGTACTGTTGAGTCACTTTTCTCTCCTGCTTATTATGTCAATGTCTTTTCTTTAGCCTCTCTTTCCTCTCTTGCTCGCCATTCCTTTTTCTTCTTTCCTAGAACCAGTTTTACTCTGTTTATTAGAATTCTCACTATTATGCCTAGCAGGAATGTGAGCAGGTTGAAAGCTACTCTCTTCTGAAAGGTTGTGAATTTCACAAAAACTCTATAAAGAAACCATTAAAGAATAATGCCTTTTAAAACACCTACTTAATAAAAGGCCAGAAAACTCAACATGTTCAGATTACTGTGGAGAATCTGTGGGGACTAAACAGAAAATCTTTTTAAAAATATATTCAGGAAAATACTCCAAACTAAATAGAATGGTGAGGCACATGTGGCATTTAAGGATCCATAAGAAAAGAGTATTTTGACGTATAAAATATACACCAAAAATGTTGATGTATGAATGATGGGATTATACATAAATTTTATTTTCTTCTTCCTGTGTAAGAGAATTTTCTAATCTTTCTATAATGTATTTATGTTTTATCATATATTGAAGCTGGATTTAAATTGCAAAAATAAAATAATAGTGAACCTGTAAGCCTTGCAGGGGTGTCAGACCTTTTGGTGTCTCTGTGCCACATTGGAAGAAGAGTTGTCTTGGTCCAAACATCAAATACACAAACACTAATGAAAACAAATACCATAATGTTTTAACTAAATTTACTATCTTGTGTTGGGCTGCATTCATAACCATCCTGGGCTGCAGTTTGGACACCCCTACGAGGTCTTCTAAGATTGGCAAAATGAATGGTTTTATGAGCTATCATTCAAGCTAACCACCCTGTCGCAAAGTGTCTCCTTCTGCCACCTTTTTAACACCCCCATGTTAGCCAGGTGTGCTTGCTTGTCTACACCTGTGGTCTACACTAAGGGCCCAGCTCTACCCTGCAGCAAGAATCCTATTACGGGTTCCTACCTTACTCTTAACTTGGTTTTTGCCAAGTTGCTCCCTTGAAGAAGTCACTTAGGACATGTTCTTTCATTCCTCTTTCCTTATGCACATATCTGCCTAATTTCCTGACCCTTGTTTACTTGGTCTCTTCATTTGGACTCTTGTTGTATGGTTCTGGGTTGGACCTATTACCACAGCCAGCTAGGCTTCACTAAGCTCTGCTACCCTCTTGATTGATCCTTACCTATGTTATATGCACAGTAGGGGTCTTGTGAAGATTTACTGAACCTGTGGCTTAATGTGACAACTGGGCTTGCTTGCAGCTTTCTACCCTATTTCCTCTAGCCTACCCTGGCATATGCTATCCAAGTCCTGAATGATAACTCACACATTCAGGCCTTGAGGTAGCTTGGGCTCTCTCTACAACGCAAAGCCTAGGGGTTGTATAGTCTTCTCTGGCATAGCCCAAGCTGATCCCACATTTTCAGACCTCTGTCATCCTCTCTCCCTCCCCAGGGCTGTTTCAATATGGCATATCTATTGTTAGGATGTGCAACATAACTCAAAACAGTTGTCTGGGATTTTCAAGCTGTAGCCAGGGACAAGCACAGCAAAGCTCAGAAAAAAATATTTCATGTTTTTAAAATATTGCACAGCTAAAATTCTAAGGTACAAGAAAGAGAGAGCATGGTTTAATATGCAAAATGTAGAATTGTGGGAACCTGAGAAAAGGATAGTGGCAGAAATTGTTACTTATTAGAAATCTTTAGTGGGGTATTTGGTCCCAAGAGATACTAACCTTTGTGTCTTAAAATTAGTCACAAACTCTCAAAATACATTTCTCTTTTAATTGCTTAGATGGAATTATTTGTGCAGAAAGATTTGGTTAAGCTGGCTCTTTGCTATTTACAATCAAAATCAAATATATTCCTCCCTTCTGAATGTTGGCTTTTATGTTTGCTGATCCCAGTTTAAGATGCTGTAATCCACATTCTTCCAAATGCAGAAATGAACAAACATGTTCATGGTGGTAGCCACAGAACAATTTAGGAAGCCTTTGTAGGCTAGTAGGAGTAGAGAGAGCCTCTCCTTTGTTGCACTTTGGGAGAATCTGAGTCAGAGCATTTCTCCTCTCTGGCAACCCCATTTCAAACAGTCAGTGAGGGCTTACTTAGACCACACAGTTTTACATGGGTGCAGGGCTCATCCAGGGAAATTTTGTTACTGTAATACATAAAATATTTGTACCACATCCCCTCTGATTTAAGACTTGACTTCCTAGAATGTTTTATTAGCTAACTAGCATTTTATCAGCAAACTCATTGGAGTAGGGATTAGCTGCCTGGCAGCTGAGAACAAGAAGAGAATTCATTCTTTCATTGCTTCAGCAGACAGTTATTGAGCATCTACTATGTTTCAAGTTAAGTTCTGACTATACTACAGACAGTCGCTGACTTTACTGAATTAAGAGAATCCACTGTATCCTTTTGGATGCATAACGATTCCCCGGCATTGAGCCCCAAAGAATAACTTATCCTTATTGTCTTCATTCAATTCTCAGACATCCTATATCTTACCTTTCTAATCCTATTCATTCCTCTGAACTCTTTCCATTGTCCAACTGTCCCATGAAATCTCCCTAACAGCTTTTTAGGTCCTCTTTACCCCAAGTCAGTTCTTCCCTGAAACTACTGACCTTGTTTTCTATATCATCACTCCCAGCACACACTGATTTAAGCTAACTGATTTAAGATGTGAAATGCTGAGTCAACTCCAACACAGAGTTTCTTGAAAGACAATCATTAAAGAGCAAATATAGTGGCCAAGTACATGAGGTCTTAATCCAGAGTGGCCCATTCAAATTCTGTTCCTATGACTTATGACTCTGTGACTTTGGGCAAGTTGTTTCACATCTCTTCCCAATTTGCTGCACACTCAAATAGGGATATTGGTAGTGCCTACTTTGCTGAGAATTTCAATGAGCTAATACATGTAAAATACTTATACTAGTGCCTTCTACAGAATAAACATTCTTTTGATATATTAGCAATTATTATTACTATTTATGTTGGAAAGGAATTGAGTAGTGATTGTGGGCTAGTGGAAATCAGGGTTGACATTTTGGGGTAGGTGCCTAGAATCCTTACATACTGTATGATGTGGTTATGAGCAGATTGAAATGTCTGACCCTGCCATGTTGTGAGAGGTCCCTTATTGTGATTGTTTATCTAGGAAATGGAACTTACATAGCAACTGTTTTTTTTTCTTTTTTCCTAAAGATTTTATTTATTTATTTTTAGCTATTGGGGAAGGGAGAGAGAGAGGGAGATAAATTAATGTGAGAAAAAACATTAATTGGTTGGTTGTCTCTCCCACACCCCCAAAGAGGGACCTGGCCTGCAACTCAGGCATGTGCCCTGACCAGGAATCAAACCAGCAACCTTTTGGTTCACAGGCCGGCACTCAGTCCACTGAGCCACACAAGCCAGGGCACAACTGTTTTTTTTAAATGAAGGGTTTTTTTATTGTTTTGTTTTTGAGGATTTTTTTTTATTAAGAAATCAAAATACCACACTTTAAAAATCAGGGCAAAAAAGAAACACAAAGGAAGCAAAAATAAATAAAGTGCTTATAATCCCATCCACCAATAGACAGCCAGTATTAAGATATTAGGATAACTTTTAGGATAATTTTCAATACATGTGATACAACCTTTTGATGACCAAATTATTTTTTAAAACTTAGCATTATATTATTAATATCACCATTATCCTATCCAGAGTATAGGATACCACCTTGTTAGACATGTAAATAATATCCTCTTTTTAACTATTGTAAACAACACTAATATAGCACACAAAGATGTACATTCATCTTTGTACAAAAAGTTAATCATTTTCTTAGGACAATTTTTTTTCCAGAAATTGAATTCCCCATCTTATTAAGGTTTCAGTTTTGGTTGGTTGTCTTATTTTTGTTTGAGACTTTCCATTAAATACTAAAAAGTTTATTTTGTGTAAATTTTTATTTAAATACTGAAATACAAATTGTGGAAAAGATTCATAACAGTTCTTGTTTTTGCTTGGTAAAGCAGTGAAAGAATTTATGAACCCAAACTTCCTACTGGGTATCAGAAATTTGGAGGCAGCATGCTGTAGGGGAAATAGTTTGGGCTCTGGAATCAATACATGTACTTTTAATTACTGGCTTAAGTACTTACTTGCAGTCGTATGACCATGGGCTCATATTTAACCTTGCTGAACCTTGATTTCTTCATATGAAAAATTCCTTTCATGACATGGCCCATGCTTGTCTCTCCTAGCTCATCTCTCATTCTCCCACCACTCTCACAAGCATTCTCTCGTCTCAATTTTAAGATCCAATTTGATTGAGCTGCTCCACAAGTCTTTCCCTATATTTCGACTTTTGTCTGGAAAAACTTTAAACTCTGCTCCTTCTTATTCCTCTAAATCCCCAACAAATATCTAAATAGTACTGGTCATTAGGGCTCAGGTTAGATATTATCCCCCTCAAGAAAACTTGCCTGACAATCCTTCCAACACACTTCAATCTAGGTTAGCTTCTCCTCCTTTGTTGTGCTATTAAAAAACTGTCCTTGCCCTGTCATTTGTATATATCACACTGTAGTGTACATACCTATTTCAGTTTCTACTGTTTCTACTAGACTATGAGGTCTTTGAGATCATATGCTGTTTCTTATTTTTCTCTGCATCTTCAATAGTGCATGGAACCAGGGAGCACCCATAAAAATTAGTTAAATGAGTGATGAATAAATAAAGTGCTATAATCATACCTACTTAACAAACTTATTAACTCATGATTATATGAAATAATGCAAGTGGTAATTCCTAGAACAAAGTTAGGTCTGGAAATATCTCACAAAAGCAAATGACAATAACTTTGTGACAAATCTCTCACAATCACTTCAAGTGTTTTGAGTATGAAATTCTGGAGAACCTTTGCCTTCATTTAAGTCTGTTGAAAGGTGAATTTCATCATTATAGATGGAATCTCAGAGGACAAAGAGCCTTTTGTTTAAGACAGCCCAGACCAGCGATTAGTGGTGAGGCGCCATGCCTAAGTGCTTCCAGGGCCTGGGGTCAACTCACACAGACAGACCACCCTTATTTAGACTCACACCTTGGACCCAGAAGGGAATGAGGAAGTAGGTAAAGAAGAAGAGAAGGAATAGAGGAAAGAGGGCTGGAATAAGATTCTGTGGGGTAATAATTGTAGTTTTTGCACACCAGCTGTGTTTAGAACAGACCAGCTATACATTAGATAATTTCACAACCCACAGAGATGTGCCCCCTTTCACCTTCCTTTTTCCTGAGTTTTGCAGCCTTCAGTGGGTCTTTCCTGTGGTGCCTTGCTGTAATACCTCATTGGCCAATTCCTCACTACCTCCTGTGGTGCAAGTGATCTGTTAAGGGTGGATCTCACAGAGCACATCCAGTGTAACCAAAGATTTTTTCAGTTCTGACAGTCTGGCACAAAATTGTTTGATGGCACCTAGTGTGACAGGGGCCAGAAATACTCCCTGCGACTGGGATGGAAGACTCCTGGTCCTTTTAGGAAAGTGCTGGGACAGTCTGGCCACCTCCCAGCAGGTTCTACCCTCAGGCCATACCCTTTTGATCCCAAGACATTTGACTCAGTTCAGTTTGAAGAATTTCTCGGTCTCTCAGGTGCAAGTGACAACTTCACTGTCTTAAAACACCAGTTAAAGCTAAGCTTTTAGGGTAATATAATTGTTTTTGTGACAGATCAAATAATGATGCTAATACAGGGTAAATTTAGAAGAATGTTGCCTTTTAACAAGTTTCACTCAGAAGTTCCGCTGCAAGCTCTTGCCTCAGCTAGTCCTTCCCAGCACCCAGGAAACAGATGGAGCTCTGCACTGTGATGAAAAAAGAAGAAGTATCAAGGCCCCAACTAACTGAAACTCTTCCTAGAGATTCCCATGGGTATATACTTAAACACAGGACTACCATCCATCCAACTCCAAAGAGAGTTCCCTGACCTCCACCCCAGTGCCTTTAAAGTTCTTGGGTTCAGGTTCTCTTCTCCTTTCAGCTGTGGGAATAGAAAGGGTCAGGGGAGGGGTGTGTGTGGGAAGGCTTCAATCCAGGCCTTTTCTTTGAGTTCTAACTTCAGGAAGGCAGCCTAACAGCCAGGTGACAGCAGAAGATATGGGGCCCCTGGAGGGGTGGGAGAGACAGCACCTAAACTACACTTGGCTGCTGCTCAGCCTGGCCTTAGGCCAGACAAAGCACAAGGACTTTCTTTCTTTTTCAGTTCAATTTATTCTTTGAATCAACAAACCTTAGGCTATGAGGGGGAAATCAAGCTCGCAGTTTAAACAAAGCATTCATCATGTGGCTGGAACCCCCTGCAATGACAAATAAATCCCTGGCAAAGAAATGTCCTACATTGGCTAGGGCGGGACATTGTGATTCCTAGATGACTTTTCTAACATGGTTTAGAAGCTCCATCAGTTGAATTTCTTCTTACAGGCAGAGGGTTGGTAAAAAGTTTTTTGGTCGGCCTGCTGGTCAGCCTGTCATTAAACACTGATTGAGCACTTGTGTGGGACCAGCTGCTTGGAACTAAAGGGTACGTCAGGAAGTCCTGGAAAACTAGGAAGCTTTACAACACATACAGCAATCCCACTTGAGTCATAAGTCTACCATCTAATCAGCCAGGGTTTTGAAGCTCTTCTATGGCTTGAACCCTAGATCACCCATTAATTTAAATAGCAGTGTTATCTTGGATAAGTCAAACATGACTGTAAAATAAATAAAAGAATAATATTCCTGGCCTCATCCACCTGGTATTGCCATTTGGGCCAGAGTATTAGGACATATATTTACCATCTAAATTTGGAGCCAAATTCCACAGGGCATCAGTGTAGCAAAAACTTATAGCACTTACTGGCACTCTTCTAAGTGTTTTAGATATATTAATTTACTTAACCTTTGTAACGATTCTATGGAGTGGGCATTAATATTATTCCCTTTTCACAGATGACAAAACCCAAGGCACAGAAAGGTTATATGACTACCTTAGATAATGGCACTCGTTTGATTTGTGTGACCATCACATGAGATAGTGGATGTGAAATACACCTAGAACATAGGCTGTCAATAAATACTGTGATTATTAGTCAGTAGTATTGTTGTTATCATTATTATCATCTTTGCTAGAGTTACTATGTGTAGTTACCACAGGGCAATTTTCTTTAGCTTTTTATTTTTAATTTTTTAAAATTAATTTTCCAGTTACAGTTGACATACAATATTATATTAATTTCAGGTATACAACATAATGATTAGACATTTATATACCTTATAAAGTAATCACTCTGATAAGTCTAGTACTCATCTGACATCATACATAATAATTACAATATTATTGATAATATTCCCTATACCATATTTTATATCATATTTTATATCCCAGGTTGAGGGATGGGTGAAAAAAGTGAAAAGGATATAGAAAATAACCACAGAGTGATTTAAAATGTGGTTAATCACACAGGGTTTGGCTATTTCCATCCGTTTCCTTAAAGGAAGCCCAACATTATTTTAGGTAACTCTAGGCAGTTATTATGGACCCTCCCAGGATTAATGATTCCAGGGGGAAAAGCAAATCCCCTGGGACTTCTGACTAAGCAAAGGCAAACCACTCAGAAAAGCAGGATAAATTAACCTTGGGAAGCCCAATAGGAAGTGCAGACCTGGGGCAATAAAATTCTATTGCCTGGAAGTGGGCTGCAAAATCAAGATTATCGAAAGAAACCCCAAGTTGAGGTGAAAGGACATTCTACGTGGATTTGTAAAATATAGAAATAAGGAGGCCTGTAAGCAAAGGAGAGAGGGTTTAACATGTTTAGACCACTTATATTGTGTCAGAAACTTTACCTCTGGAACTTTTATATTCACAATGACTTTGTGAGGTAGGTGTTATAATTATCACTAAAATATGTGATACGTGCACTGGCTCAGAGGTAAAGTAACTCAACTGAGGTTCCACACCTTAGAATTGTTACAGCTAAGGCTAGAACTGAGGTCTGTCCAACTCCAGATGTATTTCTATTTTGATACCTCTAAATCTGATACAAAAACAAGTATTGCCCATCTTAAACTTGCTCCTTTTATTCTGTTCTGTCTTGGTGAACGGGGACCACTACCCAGTCACCTAGACCAGGAATCTGAAAGTCATCTAGATTACTTCTCACTAATCTCCTATATCTACACCAGAATCAAATGTGCCTATGATTTCTGCCTCATTACCATCTGTTGTATAAGTCCTTCCTGTCTGTCTCTAACATTCATTTTTAGGCTAGAATATTGATATTTGGGCATGTGTTAGGTTGACTATCTAAAACTGGAGCCACTGAACTTGAAGCTATTGTTCAGATTCTACCTGGCATCTCCAACACATATTTCATTATATATTGGCTGAAAAAATGAATGCATAAATTAATAAGCAGATGCTAATATGCCCATTTTGATTTTCTTAAATTCTTTAGTTGTTTTCTATCCTTTCAGAATAAAGCACAAACTTTATATGTAGACCTCATGGCCTTAATGATCTAGCTTCTCCTTCATCTTGATTTCCAAATTCTTTCCATCTTCCTTTCAACACTGCACAGTTCACTCAGATTGAACTTTCCCCTACTCCACCATGAAAGGGCCACGCTCTCTTTTGCATATTGGTCTTTCATTTTTCCTTTGTGTAGACCACCATAAATCCCCCTATACCCTCGCTCCCATTCCATACTTCCTTATCTCCTACTCAGAAACATAAATTGTTTATTCTTTTGAAGGTTTTTCCAGACACCTCAAGTCCAAAATTTTATTTTTTTCTGTATTTTCCTTATGATTTTAATAACATTTCTTTAAATTTTATTTTAATTTATATTTTCAAATACATTTGTCTCTGCCAACGCCCCACCACTTTCCCTTGCCCACTCCCTCTTTCCCTCCCTCAGCTCTTCCCCATTGGTTTTCTCCATGAGTCCTTGCTATATGTTCCTTGACTTTCCCCTTCCCTTCCTTGTCCCTGCCCCCCCTCCCTCCTTCCCTCTTGTCATTGTTGGTTTCTTTTCCTTTCAGTGTTGCTGGTCTTATTTTCCTTGCATCTTTGTATTGTTGGTTAGGTTCCGCTTATAGGTGAGATCATATGGTATCTGTCCTTCGCACCCTGGCTTACTTTGCGTAGCATAATGCTCTTGAGTTCCATCCATGCTGTTGCGAAGTTCAGTAGTTCTTTTTTTCTTTC